CCCCGCTTCCCACCTGCGCACCCTTGCAAGGCCACCGGTGCCCCTCCTGTCTCTGGTGGTTTGGGTTTGGTTGCGGCCATGCGATGGGGTTATACAGCAACGCCAGCAAGGCCCCGTTTTAACTCCCCTTTTCCACAGGGCGCCCTGCCACAGAGGGTATTTTGGGGTCCAGGCTGCCTGTGGGGACCTGGCACGTTACGCGTGTGCTTAGCGGAAGGGACGACCTGTGCCTGGCCTTTGCCTTTGGCTCTACCGCTAGCTCCGGCGAGGTCAGGACTAGTTTTTTTTCTGGTGCGTTTATGTTTGCTGCCTTGCGTTGAGATGCAGTTGCTGTCAATCTGGAAGCTGGAAACGCGAGAAATGAGCGTAGCGATGTGGTGGTAAACGCATACACACCTGAAATCTCCTGACCTCCTAATTCAGAAAGCCAGCCTCGGACTACACGCTGAAGTGAACTCCGATGCCTGCGATCGGAGGTGGAGCCCCAGCGCTGCAGAGCGTGCCAGCTTCACCTATGATAAAGAGATAAGGCTCCCTCGGTATTTGTGGTATTTCCTTGCACTGTGCTGTAATAATAGAAATGACCTTGGGTATCACAGAGACCAAGGTTGTTAACTGCAAGTTGTATTGCGATGGCTCAGGTGAATGGCAATTTTTTTTAAGCATCCTGTTACAGTGTGCTGCTGTAGCATAGTGGACAGAGCGTCTACGGCCGTGCTGAGTCAGACTAGAGGTCCATTTAGCTGGTATCCTTTCTCCCACAACACCTGTTAACAGATAGTATGACAACGAGTACAAGAAAGGAAAGCAAGTGAAGACTAATCCTTTCCTCAGTATAACCTCCCTGCTCTCGCAGGGTGAAGTTTAGGGGCTTTCTGAGAAATAGGCACCATTTAGACCACAAATACGTTGAATAAACACCAGTGGCCCTATCCAGAGATGTTCATACCTGTTTATAGTACAGATCTCTAAAGCTTCTGTGAAGAGAGAAAGCTAGCTTATATAATTTTTTTACACCTTTCCAGCATGGGAGTTGTGTGTTTTTCAGAGCAGGGATTATATCTTATGTGTATGTAGGGCAGGATTTACCAGAATATCAATGTATCTATATGTGAGTTAGTAGAGTTATGATAAGAATCCACCAGCAGAGGTCACCTAGCTACATATAAAAAGTAATAGTAACCCACTGAAATAATAAACTTTATTTTTACCAGCATCCAAAAGTTGAGAAAGAAATTAAGTGGTATTATTTTGGTTATGTGGCGTACAAAGCAGCTTTGTGGGGTGAAACATAGTTATCACTCCTGTATATAACGCCAGTGTGCATTAGCCTTTCTAGGCCTGGCAAGAAACTGTTTCATGCAAGCACATATTTAAAGAGAGACATTTTTCCCTCAGATTCCTTTTTCCAAGACATGCACATAAAGCCTAAATGACTCATATCAGTGTGAGATATTTTTCAGCTTTGTGCAAATTCCTTGTTAGAAAGTATTTTTTGTTAGCTGGCAAAAATGGCATGCAGACTAAGAAACATGTTTCCTCTAAGTAAAAAAGCACAAATATGATATTGTGGAGGCCTCTGAAGTTGCTATTCATTTTTTTCTTGAAAAAACAAAAACATCTGCCGCAATTTTTGGTAAGGATTTTTAAATATTATTGTTGTCAGAGATCCATATCCTCTGATTCAGCAGTTTCTGAGATCTCTATTTTCACGTCTTGAGACTAACTGGAATCAAGTTGTCCTGTTGCTTGTTAGAGTAAGGCAAAGACAGATTTATGTTCAGCTGCCAGTGACCCAAATGGGTTATTTCAGGAAGTGGGGATTACCAGGCTAGGAAATGGGTTTTCCCAGAAAGAAGGTAACCCTCTGTCCATGCCTTGGAGGCTGGGCAATATGGAGCAGGTCTGTGTCACGCAGAGATACCTTTTGGGAGTTTTGCCAAAGAAGGAAGATCCACTAACTTCATAGCTATTTACAATACAAATGTGTAACAGTATGGGTCACAGTAGGGGTCTTATAAGTAGAATGGGACTAAACTTTGGCCAGCAGTCAATGTTTGCAGACTGGAAATACAAAGTCATGTACAGTAATACAAAGTCATGTACTCAACAAATTGTTCTGGTTCGTGCCAAGCCAGCTTGCCCTAAAGGTCTGGAAGTAGATATATTTGCACTGCTAGCCATTTGGGCAAGGGAAGAAGTGAGTGTTTCTCCAGCAGGCTTTTTCCCTTTCTAGCTTGAGTACCTGCGCCAGCCACAGCTGAGAGATGCTGTGTTGTGGGGTAAGAACTTAAGCCGGCCAGCCAAGATCTGGTTTTAATGTTCCAGCTGGAAAATGCTGTGGCACTGACAAAGAGTTTTCTAAAGGACATTTTGTATAGTGTCAGAAATGTGAAATGCCTGCTTATCAGCGAAACAGTAAAAGGAGATTGTAAAACTGTGCTTTTCTGTCTGGGGAACATGGGGAGAAACATGCTGTTTTCTGCAGATTTGAAACACAATTCTCAATTAAGTGAAAGTTGCACAACCTGTCCCCTTACTTCACTCACTGCCTCTCTTGCACCTTCCTTCCCTCCTAGGGCTGTCCAGTCCTCCCCCCCACCTTCTTATGCAAGGGGGAAAGCACTTTTCTACCCTTCTTCTATAGCGTGCAAATTCAAGAGCTAACTAATTTAGTCTTGAAAGTGACCTTATTCTTATCTGTCACTACCCAGGCTACAATATATTTATTTCTCATTACAGATACTTCTGCTATCAGGGTCCTTGGGCAGAAGCATGATTTCTGGTAAACCAACTTTCCTCGTTTCCTCCCACCTCTAATTAGTGAGTTTTCTCAAAGGATATAAAAGCCCATCTCACATTACACTTTTGGACCTCTTGAAGTGCAGAGGGGAGGAGAGACAGGGTTAGCTACTAATCCAGCAACCTCAGCTCCAACTATTTGTAGCATGCATCAGGATGCTTCCCCTCGCCGATCCCACCAATCATCATTTTCCCTGCAAAATTCACACTGCATGCTAAACCCTGTTTAAACTAGGGACGAAGGTGGCAGCCATATGATTCTTGGTGCACAAAGCCCATCATCAGATGAAAAAAAGAAAACTTCCTGCCTATACGTGTCCTAGCACCAAGTGACATGACTAGATATGATTTAAAATACTGGCTACAGTCTCAGCACGTGTGTCACTGCCTAGCTCAGCGTCAGGTGTTATTTCTCCAACAGCCCATGCCATGGGGCTTCTGAGAAGGAGGAAGATCTTTCTAGCTCTGTTGAGACTGAGAAAGTCACTGCTGGGTAAAGCTAGTCACTATAGAAAGCCACAGCACTGGTGAGGGTGTCTATAACAGGTTTTTCCCTTTTTTTTTTTTTGCACTATTTTTGGTTATCAATGGCAGTATCTCCACGGCAAAGCTGGGTCAAGGGTTGTTGAGGCTGCTAGCAAGCTAGCGGAAAGGCAGGTCTGACGACTAGCTTTTGGAGTTGTCCAGGTTTTGTTTCTTATGGTATTTATATGTTTATTTAAAATTCGAAGAAGTCAGGTCCTCCTTCCTGAAGGAGCTAAAAACAGCTAGATAAATGTAATGACAACAGTTATGTAATTATTTTAGAACGCTATAAAAGAAAGCAAGCAGCCGAAACTTAGTTGCAGTAGAAATCAAAACAGCAGAGAGCTCGAACAGAGGAGAGAGCCAACTTTACTGAGCAAAGGTCACAGTGTCTCCTAGGGTTAAAACTGTTGTTACCAGAAACACGAAAAGGATGGCTTGCAAAGATTCAGATTTCAGAGATACCGTCGTGAAACCTTCATCCCACATGTACTTTCCACAACAAAGAACTGGAAGCATCAGGAAAATGTTTCACTGGAAGCCAAGCCAATTTTTAGAAGGGAGGAAACATCAAATGGGAAAAGGAAAAAAGTTTAAATAATCTGGAAATAAATGCACAGGACTTTTAGGCGAGTGTTATCAGGAACTTCCCCTCTACTCACACTACCTGCCTCTGTCTGGATGTCATGAGAGAAAAGTGTTCGTTTCCCATTAAAGCAAGCCATAGGGGTATCGAAGGTGCTCTGCCCTCCTCTATCCCAGCAAGCTGTAGGAGGTCCTCTTGTTTCAGGCCTTTATTCTGCATTTGCTATAGGGCAGGAGCAGTAACTAGAATACCAGGCGCAAGGCAAAGAGATGAAGCTCTGTAGGTGTAGCGCAGGGCAGGAGACCCAAAGCCAGACCTCAGACGGACGATAGGGGTTGACCCTACCCATACGGCTGAGGCAATGGCCTACATGGGTGTCAGTAAGGCACCGTCACCTGCAGACTCAGCCATGGCTATTTCTGATTATTTCTGCTGTGGTGCTCGGGATCCTGCCCCGCTCTTGGTATGCTAACACACAGAGGCCATGAAGGATTTGAACCCCTAACTGACTCTACTGTGGTGCTTAACTTGGATTTCATTTTCAAATTCACCTGTTTTCTCATATCGCTTAAAATATTGCTGGGAGCTATAGGGCAAAGACCTCACTTCTGGCCCAGAAAATCTTGAGCTGCAAATTACTGAAGCCTAGGGGAATATTCTGGGGAAGCAGCCCTGTCTTGTCCCTGTGCTCTTGCAGACATATCCACCATTGGCCACTGTCAGAAACAAAATGCTGGGCTGGATGGTCTGATCCAGTATGACTGTTTTACAGTAATGCCTGGATTCTAAGGTTTTTTGAAAAAAAGGTGTGTTTCTGTATCGTCTCCAGCTCCATTCCATCAAGGTAAAAAAACAATCAGTATGAGTTACGTATTCTGGAAGTGTGGAAAGATAGTAAATTATTACATGTTTAGACAATCAACTGCTTAAGAATGGGGTCTGCAAAGAACTTAACTATAATGAGGATTATCATCAATAAGAACAAGAAATCAGTGCAAAGACTGCAAAAGAAGGACTCGGAGAAGAAAAGGAAAATACAGAAGAGAAAGTGTGACTTGTACAAAATCAGATCTGATTCTGTGCACAACCTCTTCAATAAAGACAGCCCGTATGATAAAATACTTATTTGCAAATTACAGTTAGTGGAAAATAGGCTTTATTAGGTTT